TCCACAAAGGTTTAAGGTTAGTAACACTAAACTGATAACTGTGTGTATCCACACTACCATCATCTACAGAGAGTCAGCAGAGATGTGGAGATTAAAGCTGCAAACTGGAGGTCAATGAAAGCCTTGAAGGTGTTCACAGAAGCTCTGAGATACCTGAAGGACGACGCTCTGAGAACCATCGCAGAGAACACAGAAGGGAGGAAGTTCATAGCCTCTGACTTCACCTGGGTGCTGACTGTACCTGCCATCTGGGATCCTTCAGCAAAGCAGTTCATGAGAGAAGCTGCGACTCAGGTAACATCATTTATTAAGAGCTCTGAGATCCTGAAATGTTCAGAGGAGTCAGTTTTCTTTCATTTGTAGGCAGGACTCGTTACAGAAAGAACTCAACACCACCTGATCATCGCACTGGAACCAGAGGCAGCCTCAGCCTGGTGTAAGAAGCTGCCAGCTGATGGCTTCATCACTCAGAACCATGATGGAGGATCACTGGATCAGTGTCCAGGAACACAGTTCATAGTGATGGACTGTGGAGGTACTCTATGTGACTCTGTTACACTCACAAACATTCATCCACAGACACGCTGGAAACATCTGTCTGCTGCTGCAGGAAGTCAGCTTTCATCACTTCCTGTGTGTTTCAGGTGGAACCATCGACATCACAGTTCATGAAGTCCTGCATGGAGGAGCCCTGAAGGAGCTGCACAAGGCCTCAGGAAATGATTTGGGGGGACAAACTGTGGACAGGAAATTCAAAGAGTTCCTCAGAGAAATCTTCAGTCATGGTGTCTGGGATGAATATGAACAAAACTTTCCCAGTGAGGTTCAGAGGATAATGCATGATTTTATGTATTTCAAACAGGTAGATGATGATATTGAGATGTCATGTCCATATAATCTGGGAACACTGGCTCAGAAAAGACAGGAAATAGAAAAGTTCTTTGAATCAGTGCGAGGTGCTTCCTGGGATGATGGATCCATCAAAATCTCCAAAGAGAGACTGAGGTCTTTCTTTGCTGAGAGTCTGAAGGGCATCACTGACAGTCTCAGAGAAATCCTGAATAAAGATCTAAACGTCGAGTACATTCTGTTAGTGGGGGGTTACGCTGAAAGCCAGATTCTACGGCAACATGTTACTGATCAGTTTGGTGATCAGTGTAAAGTCCTGTGTCCTTATAGGCCCCAGGAAGCGATCGTGAAGGGAGCTGTGATGCTTGGAAAAAATCCAGCAGTGGTGGCATCTCGAAAATCTGCCTTTACGTACGGGTTTGCAGATTCAGAGAAGTTTGATCTGTCCAAACATAAGAAAGAAAAGACATTTGTAGTCCAAGGGGAGGAGTTTTGTGGAGACATTTTCAGGAAACTTGTGGAGGAAGGTGAAGATGTTGCCTGGGATGAAACCAGAGAGCTCATCTTTAATGTTCTGGAAGCTAAAGAAAATCACACACACGTAAGAATCAGGTTTTATCGCACACAAAGAAGAAATCCTCTGTATGTGGATGAAGAGGGAGTGGAGGAAGTCGGTTCACTCATTGTAAGAATGCCCACTACACGAGGCAGGAAGCATGAAGTCAAACTGAACATCACACTTGGCTCCACTGAGATAACGGTCACAGGCACAGGGTTAGTTTATGGGTCTAAAGAATCAGCCATGATTGACTTCATGACCAGATCATGAAGATTTGTACAAACACTGAGAAGCCAGCAGCTTGTGTCTCTGTGTTCGTCCTGCTATGGACCATGAAAAGAGGAAGCTCAGCTCTGAGTTCTTAGAATAACTTTGTTATCTTTGTACACACACAAGCTTGTATAAATAAAGAACACAGACAGTGACAGAGCGCGAGTCCGTGAGTGCCTCCTGCGAGTACGAGCGCTCTGTGACCGTCCTCGCGAGTAAAGACAACTGCAGTGTTTGTGTTTTCTAACTCGGGTGTCTCAGCCGAAGAATTGTGGGGTGATTCTTAGAAATTCCCTGTCAGACCCTATGCATATTCATGTAACCACAATAAAAGGAGTGCTATGGGGAACCTGGCTGAGAGTCTGACGGAGGTCAAGTGGGTGGAACAACACTTGGCTCCAGGCAGGCCTCCCTCAGGCATGAGTGACCCAAAGAACTTTGGTGCCTTGTGTCTTGCTTTTTGCTGTGTAGCAAATTGTCCTTAACGTTCCAGCGAATAGGTTTACGCTACAAACCCATCACCCTACTTTGGATAACTTTTATGGATGGACAGATATTTTCTGATGATCAAACCTTTGTGGGGGTTTGTTTTGTTTTATCATTTTATATGGAAATGACTGTTATTGGTGTCATGGTACAGCTGTGTGGCAGGCAATGAGAGTAACTATTCTGAATACTTTGGATTACTTAATATATTATCATGCTGTTTACAACTACATGAATGTAATTTATTACTATTACTGAAGGTTACTCTCCACACCAACACCAGCCACATGTTTAAATCTTAATATAAATGAGTAACAGTAGGTGGACATTAGGTAAGGCTGCACGTTTTGCTTCGATCTCATATAGAAAACTATTCCTCGCGTATATAAAACAGGTCCGCGGCTCTGAACCGTAGTAAAGGACCTCTGGCTGATACGTCGGGTTCGTGTCGGCTCGTAGCTGAAAACTAGCTTTACTTTGTTGTCTGGGTCGACTTTGCTAGCAGAGACAGAGAGAGGCGTTGAAAGGCTCCAACAGAACTTATTGTTTCAGAGGAAAACAGGAACACAGCGTACAGTCGAGTCTTAACAGCTTACTTACAGCTGGGCTCGTCAGGCTCTCTGTTTGGCTGCAGTGGTTATTATTATATTTACATGCTTCCAGCTCCCGTTTCTGCTCGGTGACAGCTCCTACTTTTCCTTTCTCTCCCTCCTCGCTCACAGACACATCACGGGTCCATCCTCCCTGCAGCACGGACTACGCTGCCCATCAGGCTGCGTGCTTTAGGGCGATGCCTGTAACACTCTGCCTGTTGCCTTCATATTAAATCATTTTTTGAATAGTAATTTTAAAAAATATTTCTTCATGTTATTATGTGGGCCGTGAGATTTAGACACAGACATTAGAGCCTCTTAATGCCTGTTTTGTTTGGGTTTGTTTGGAATTACCAAAAATAGAGAGGACATAGCCGAACATATGAAACAGGAAAAGACCGTCGTGTAATCCATCATATGAGGACAATACATGTTGTTTATTTATTAATATACAACATGTAGAAAATGTGGACCAAATAAAGATAAAAATAAAATAAGGACAAAATGTGTCGGCTTGAATTCTTCCTTGATTCTTCTAATTAAAACACCAATAACTGTATTTCACCTGCTTGCAGCACACGTGTCATTGAGCTTCACTGTACTAGACTCAGTGTATTAATCCAGATTCTCTGACTCATTAATAACACACACAGAGGTGTGTTTGAATGACTGTGTGCGACCTGATCCAATGACAGTGTAACGTACTTAGACCTATTCTTCACATCACCATCTCCTTTCTTTAGACCAGGGGTAGGCAACTGCAGGCCTCGAGTGCCGGTGTCCTGCAGGTTTAGATGTGTCCATGATCCATCTGTAGCCGTCGCATTGAAATGTAATTATTATGTGATTGCAATGTTCAAAATTTGGTGTTTAATCTGGATTCATGTTGTGTTGTCGCCACCTACTGGTGGGCCTGAGTGTGGCGCTTTGTGGTGCGCATGCTTTGGGGTGAGGCTCAATTAAGCGCACGTGTCACCAGAGACTGAAGGTTCGAGCCAGAAAGAGAATGCTAGCCTGTGCAAAGGGTGGAAATATAGAAGATATGGACTACAATTGCTCATGAATGTTCAGTAGAAAGGCGCACACGGTATGTTGGTGCATTTACTTTGTGTGTGTTTTATTTGAGTTGTAATTTTTGTTCTGCTGATGTAATATCTGTGTTTTTCATTGATCATTTCACCATAGTTTGGTGTTTGCTGGTGAAAAGAAGATTAAAATACTGGCTGAACATCAGTTGGAGCATGGCCCTTTATTCTACTTCGAACATGAAAAACCTTCAGGAGCAGTTACACCATCACAGCTGATTTAAAGGGCTAAATGACTCCTCAGCATTTCTTGAAGTTCTTCAGAGGCCTGGTAATGAACTAACCATTTGATTCAGGTGTGTTGACCCAGGGTGCGATCTAAAACCTGCAGGACTCGAGGCCTGGAGTTGCCCACCCCTGCTTTAGACAATCCCTTCCCTGTCATAGAGTGTTTGTGTCGCGGTCTGTGGACTCAGTGTTTTTCTGTTTGTATTTGTTATCCTTGATTTCATGATGTGTTTTGATCCTCTTGGTTTTGATTTCCGTCTCTAGTATTCCCAGCTCCTTAGTTCCTTAGCATGTCTTGTGCCAGTGTGTCCTTTTGTTCTCTGTTAACTGTATCCTCTAGTCAAGTCCGCGTCTGTTTTACTTTGAAAGTCTGTGTCTATGTCAGTGTGTTGAGTTTTGCCTCCCCTTTGTCTTGTCATGTCAGATGAGTCCCAGCTGTGCTCTCCTCCTGTTTCTCATTCCCTAATCACCTCCGCATGTATCTAAGCCCTGTGTTTTGTCTCTGCCAGTTGTTGCGTCCACGTTAGTTGTGTGTGAATCCCGCTCTAGTTAAACTATCCTAGCTCGAGTTTTTGTTTGTTGTGTTGTCAAGTTTGTGTTGCCAGCAGATGAAGCTGCCGTCTGCACTTGGGTCCAGCCGCACAGCTCATCGTGACAGTTTGTCTGAACTTACTTCAGTATACTGTACCTCAAACACCAGAGTTATAGCCATAACCATACATGAACTAAGTCTACCTGAGCACAGAGACGTACTCCACACCTCTGTGTTACTAATGATTCAGTCTAGTGCAGAGAAGATCAATGAAACATCACTTGTGTTATTCAGCAGCGTATTTCTCAGAGGAGTGAACAAAGCTGCTCAGCTGGTTTCTTTGCATTCCAGCTGCTGCTTCACTGGAAACAGTTCAAAGTGAAACTACATGAGTTTGAGCAGGTTCATCCAGAGAAACGTCCGTGAGCTCCTGCTGTCGACGTGCTTTAGAAGAGTGAGCTCAGTAAGAAGCTGAGAGGACGACGAAGATGTTTGCTGTGTTTGTGATCCTGCTGCAGGGTAAGCTGTCCTCCCTCCACCTGACCTCAGTCAGATGTCATCACTTTAGTCCTTGCTTTTTAAATATTTATGATCCTCAAATTCTTCACTCATTTTCCACGCACCCTTGCACTTTTGTAACAAAGAGGACTCAACATATTAAAATAATGCTGCTGTAACCTTTTCAGGCTTTATTTTGAAGAGTTATAAACAAAAATGTCAATACAAATATGGAAACCATTTATAGACATCAACAATCTCACGAATTGTAAGGAGAAGGGTATTTTTGACAGTATTAACAGCATGGCTACTGATGTAAGACGTTGCTCTGTACTCATTCTGGTTGACCTCAGTGCGGTCCGACCCCTGGGTGCCCTCCATGCCAGCATCTTTGGGCAAGATGTCCAGGAAACCCCAAGTTTCCCCCCAATGCCTTCATTACACTGTTTATCAGGATGTGAATGATAGAAAGTACTCACATGTACAAAAACAAGCTCGTGTGAATGAGGTAATGAGACCTGATGATGACTTTGAGTGTCGCAGTAGAAAAGCAGTACAAAAGAATCAGTCCATTTATCATTTCCTATAATTTTATGTTGATGATATTTAGCTGTATAAACCTGTCCAGCTCACCTGCCGGTCAGGTTTTCCTCCCTAGTCAACTGTTTCCCCCTGATTAGTGACACGGCAACAGTTACCTTGTTTGAACGACTGAGGCCGTGATGAACTACAGCAGGTAAAAGTATTGAATATGCCACCAATTTTCTAAGTAAATGTATTTATAAAGGTGCAGTTGACATGAAATTCTCTCCAGATGCTGGTAACAGTCCTTCCAGTCTACATTCAGAGAAATCAAACCATAGATGTCCATAAAATAAAGTTATGTGTGATAATAAGAAATGACACGGGGAAAAGTATCGCTCACACATACTTAAATGAATTCATTACTTCATACAAAAGCCTTGGTCTGTGTTTGAGCTTCATGACACCTCCTGTATGGAGAACATGCGTTGCTCTGGTGTGATTTTGATCCAATCTCCCACACAAACAGTCTGAAGGTTCTGTGGATGTGTCGAGGGCGCCAATAACCCAAAGTGACCAGCGTCCAAGAGTTGGGTCAGGTGACTGGCTGGGCCGTTCCAGCAGCTTTAAAACTTTCTCTGAAACCAGCTGAATGTTTCCTCTGCTGTGTTTGGGATCATCCTCTTACCGAAACTCCACCCTCGTTTCATCTTTATCATCCTGGTAGATGGCAGCAGATTTGTCTCAGAACATTTGTCCATTCATCCTTCCTTCGATGATATGAAATGGTCAGTGCCATGTTCTGAAAAACAGCCACACGCTATCACGTTGTCACCTCCAAACATCACTGTGGGTGTTTTGTAGTTTCTCAGGTGAACTGTGATGGACCAACATTGTAAAGCGCTTTTCGAGACCCTCAAAGCGCTTTACAATGCCACTATTCAGTCACTCTCACATTCACACACTGGTGGAGGCAGCTACAGTTGTAGCCACAGCTGCCCTGGGACCGACTGACAGAAACCTACATCATACGATTGATTTGTGTTGGTGTGCAGTTTCCCAGGGTGCTGCAGTGTTGGAGGTATATGAGGAGGTGGAGGCTGTCGTGCTGCCCTGCCAGTACTTTGGTATCATACCTGAGGACGATCCCACAGTGATCTGGAGCCGCTTTGACCTCAATCCCAAAACTGTCCACCGGAGAAGAGAAGAAGATGACCTCCAAGGCCAAAACCAGCATTACAGCGGGAGGACGTCGATGAGGCCTGATGCCCTGGATACTGGAGACTACAGCCTCACTCTGAGAAAGCCCCAGCTCACTGACAGCGGCACCTACACCTGCACCATCAGTGATGGGACACAAGACCTGACACTGAATACCATACAGCTGCAGGTCAAAGGTCAGAAACAATCCTCTATAGATACAGGTCAGAGGTCAGACGTCATGACATTCTTTCTGTTTCTCCACAGAACGATTCCCAGCTTGGTCTAAGGTTCTGCTGGTTCTCCTGGTTCTCACCACTGTCATTGTTTCTGGGGGTCTCTTATTTTGTTTCCGTCTCTATTTAATGTCAGGTGAGTCTCTATCACCATCCAGGATGATGGTAAAAAATTCTCCAACTGTCATAGTGTGATTCAAATCGAATTCAAGGAGTGGACTCAGATTGTTGTTGGCAGGTTTAAATGTGTTACTGAAGGTGAAGGATAAGTGTGGGGCCCGCCCCCTAGGGGGGGCATAGAGCCATCGCAGGGGGCGCGCGGTATGAAAGGAAAAAAAAAAACGCTTGGACACTGCTGGCATAATGGACAGGTTTTTACAGGCCACACAAACGCAAAGCAGGACATGAAGCATCGCTGAATATGTTTCCAAACCAACTTCATTCTAAGCCAAAGACTAGAAAATATGGTGAAGCAAATCTTCCCTTTGGCTTCACCTGCACAGGTGCTGAGGTAGGTCTCCCTGCAGGATTGGTTTCCCTGTCAGGAGCAGCGCTGGGCTGTTCAAATCACGGACAAACAGGATCCCACAGCTGTTTATGTTTTTGAACCCATTGTGCACAGAGAGGCATTTTTGAAAAATGTATTGATGCAATGTTGAACATTATTACACAGGAAAAAACAACTACATGTAAAATAATGACACCGTGACGCCTCTGTCTTTGTAAATGGAGGGACAGTAACTGCGTGTAAAACCTGCAGACAGTCAGATTAACAGTATTTTGTCTCTGTCACTGTAGAAATTCATCTCATGTAAGATTTTTTTGTAAAACAAAGGGGGGCTAACCAAAAGGTTTGGGAAGCACTGGGACAAGGCAACTGTGGAGAGGAGCGAGAAAGCAGCTGCTGGGCAAAAGGTGGCTCTGCCAGAGAAGAGATCGAATGTTAATAAAGGTCTCAAGATGACTGGAGCATGATGCAGAGAGTAGGAGTTATGTTGGAAAGTCGAATGAGAACTTGGGAGGGTTACTAGTCCAACAAGCAGTTGTTCAGGGATGCCAGGTTGGAGCTGGCTGATGGCTGGTAGGTGAATGAGTTCCTTTGCAGATTTCAGCAGAGTTCAAAGTCCACAAAAGGGTCGAGACTTGAGCAAATCAAACTTCCACAGAAGGTTCAAACAGGATACTGCAGGAAAACAGAAATGTAAAGTAAGAGCCAGTGACTACGGTCAAACAGAAAGATGAGGGACCTGACTGTCACCAGTGCAGCAAAGATGAACTAGGAGAGAGCTGCAGCACCACTCAATAATAGCTGCTCACTTAACTGTGATCAGGAACAGGTGCAGGAGGGAAAGAAGGAACTGTCAGGAAAGCTCCACCCAAAGCTTCATGCCAGCTCAGCAGCTCCACCTGATAATGATTGTAAAGAGAGCGAGTTAGAAAAAGGGAAAGAAAACAAACAAGAAAAACAGCCCAGCAGAACCTGCCAGACCACGACACTGATCGTGTGCTGACGCTCAAGAAAAAACAGAAACGTGAAGAGTTCAGAATCCTGAACAACTGAGACAGAGCTGAAAGCTGCAGAAGACAGAAATATATGCAGGATAAGGAGAGGCTGGGTAACAGGCGAACACACAACTGGAATGAAGGTGACTCAGTGCGCCCCAGGGCAGCCGTGGCTACAATTTAGCCGTCACCAAAAAGTGCGATTTACCGTTTACCATAATGAAACAGGGAAGCAAAACTAAACATAACGTACATGGGACACGACACTATCACAATAAAACAGGAAACAGACAGAGACCAGCCACAGGAAAACGAAACAACATCAGATAAAGACTAAGAGACGTAGGTTACTACAATAATAAACAGGGTCCAAAAACCAAAAAATGCTTTAACACCCAGGTAGCATAAAAAGAGGGTCAGCCAGAATCATGCCTGAAGCTTGTTGACGCCAACCAAAGGGTCTGGTTGATGTGAAAACTGCAAAGGGTCCCGTTCAGTCTGCTCTGCCTGTACTGCAGGGTGAGAGGCGGGGTACACCTGGATAGATCTCCAGCCTGTCGCAGGGCTTTTTGTCTTAATCATTAAAGGTGTGGTGGCAGTAAAAATGTTAACAAACATCATTTCTATTAGTTTTCACTTGCTGCTTAGCATTGGCGCTAAAAACTACTACTACTACAGGGAGTGCAGAATTATTAGGCAAGTTGTATTTTTGAGGAATAATGTTATTATTGAACAACAACCATGTTCTCAATGAACCCAAAAAACTCATTAATATCAAAGCTGAATGTTTTTGGAAGTAGTTTTTAGTTTGTTTTTAGTTTG